TGTTGATATAACAATCACATAAGTTTTTGTATTTTAATTTTCCGTATCAAACAAACGTTGGAATATATTTTCCAGTAGCTTTTTTATATAATTGCCAAACAACAGAAAATATTTTCTTGGAAAACAATTTTCAGGAAAATAGCTTCCTCGGGGATTGGTTTTCCTATGGAACTTGTTTTCCTCCAAACAAACAGGGCCTAAGGCCTCTTTTGTTTTTTTGTTTTTTGTTTTTTGTTTTTTTTCCATTTTGCTTGCTAGCCTTCCTTTTCTTTCAACAAACTTTGTTTTTGTTTTAATCCCTATTTTATATATTTTTTTATGTTGATCATTAATATTTTATTATATTTGATTTTTATCCCTATAATAAATATTTTTTCTTGCCTTTTAGTAAAAAATTATGATCTTTTTTTTTGTTTCTATTTTGTGATATGTTTTTATCTTAATCATTAAAATTTTATCATGTTTAATTTTTATCCTCACTATACTAAAACTAAATAAAGTCTCACTATTTTAAGCTTCTTCTTTTTTTTTTTTTTTAGTGAAACTTTTCTTTCTGTTATAATTCATGTTATCATGTAGAATTTTATTTTTATTTTAGTCCATGTTTTTTAATTGATTTTTTATTTTGATCATTAAATTTTTATTTGATTTTTTTGCCTACAAGGAACTATTTTTTACTTTTAGTAAAAAAATTTGTTATGTGTTTAGTTTTTATTTTGTGATCTTTATTTTATTTTGATCATTGAAGTTTTATTATATTTGATTATTATTCTTTCTACACTAAAATTAAATATAGTTTCATTATTCTAAGATGTTTTTTTTTCTTTTAGTAAAAAAAAATTTCTGTTTTGGTTCTTATTTTATTATTTTTTTATTTTATTCATTAAAATTCTACCATGTTTTATTTTTATTCCTGATTTATGCATACTGAATTTTTTTTTTGTCTTATTATTTTTTTTATTTTTAGTTTATTTATTTATTTTTGATCCTTATTTTATGATCTTTACTTTGTTTTGATCATTTAATTTTTATTGTGTGTAATTTTATCTCTATTTTTTTTTTTTTTTGTCAAGTTCTTGATTTAAATAAGTTTTTTTGCCTTTGTGTTTTGGGTAGTCTCTCTATCTCATTAAAAATTACAAATAAAGAATATATAGTAAAAATTAATCATCTAAAATTTATAAAACTACCACATCATTATTCTAGTTATCGGTTATTATACATATTTTTAATAAAATACATGTTTATATAAACACAATATCTAATCGAGCAACTTTATATTACTGAACTTTGCGGACTTTTCGTTTAGTTAACTATACAACAAATTATGAGATATATGTTTTGGTTTTTGTTTTTTGATTTTTTTTCGCGTAATCCTTTTATATAATTATTTTTAAATTTTGTATTTTATATAAATAAATACATAAGAATGTTGCATAACTCACCTCTCATCCAATGGCAACGCACGGAATATATGCTAGTAGAAACTATAATAAAATTTATGGAGCTAATGAATACAAACAAAAATTTTGAAATGAAATTAAGCCACCACATAGACGTCATAAATCTCAAGGTAAAAATAAAAATTTACCTATTCAATCATTTTTGTAGATCTCTAAAGTTCAGCCAAACCGCATGTGGTTTTCTTCCCTTCAGCCTGGCCCTGGTTTTTTCAGCTCATATTGATTTATGTCGTGCTGTAAATTAGCCTACGCCGTTGGCTAAAATTATATGGAAACCTTTGTGCTTCCTCAAATCAACCATTCATTTCAGCCTTTGTATAATGATTTGATCAATTGAACATTGTTTTTTTTTTATATGGCCGTCAATTTAATACAATATATGTAATTTCCATCCAATTAGTCCATAGACTTAGCCGAGATGGCATTTTCCCGTTAAAATTGAGCCCACATTAAAAAAAAAAAAAAAACTAAAATGGAAAAAAATATTTTTTTTAAAAAAAAATTGCGAGTCCACGTGGGTCGATAGAAATATTGGCACCTCAGTCCAGTTAACTAACTGACTGGAAGTTGTATATGAGAACCAAATCGAATGCAACTAAGAAATATAAGGACTAAATTGATGAATTGAGGATAACATGGGTGAGTAATGAGGATCTCTCGCTCCAAGAATCGAAATCATTAGTTTTTCTGGTTTCAAAAATTAATAATTGATAATTATTTATACATGACTAAATTGATGAATTCAGGATAACATGGTTGGTTTTTTCCTTCATCTTTTGCCCTTTTCCATGAAATGCTCTCTTCTCCTAAGTGGCCCTTGCAATAGTGGGTTTCAGCCTAGCAATTTATAATTACAAAAAACTAAAATTTTCTTAAATTTTAATATATTTGAAAATTATTTTTTAAACTTTTAATTTCAGATTTAATTTTTAATTTTATTTTTGAGATTTAATACATCTTTCAATTTTCGATCATTTATACTAAAAAATAACGATCACATCAATAGATTTATGATGAAAATCATTTAATAATATTTATCTAGAACTTTTTTAAAAAATCATTTGAGGTTATTTTTTTCTATATTTTTAATGTTAAAAATGATAAGATATAGTGATTTTTTTTAAAAAAAAAATAGAGAGATGAAAACAGAAATTAGAAACACAGAGATTTATTTTTAAATAACCTGAAGTGCAGTGTAGAGGAAGTCGGAGCCTTTTAGCCGCAATTTACAAAACAAACTTCAATTTTGTCTGGTCCCCACTTTACGTTTCATCTTTGCCTCTTTTGAAATAATTGATTTTCTTTTCCTTTATTTTGAAAATGCGACGAAGAAAATTAATCGACTCCCTTTGCTTTGTATATGTGTGTGTGTTTCTCCAAAAAAAAAAAAAAACAAAAAAGTCTTCAGAATATCCGATAGACCAAAAATAATCAATGGTGTTGAAGTGGGCTATCTAGATGACAAACGTTACAAACCTCACAGCCAAATTACAATAAAACATTGAAAAAAAAATACAATAAGATTATTCTTAACTAAAAAAAAAAAAAAAATCGAGATAAGACTGGCAACTTGCAAGTGGGAACTTGTAATAGAAAAAAAAAAAAATCTCAGAATAATAAAGAAAAGAAGGTTCGGACCGTAAGTAATTTGTTGTTTTTAACAAAATGGGTCCTATGAAATTGACTTCCTGAAAGGACCACTAGTGGGTTTGGTCTCACATGGGACCATGTTACAATCCATATCTTGATTTGCATAAGTAAATTTCCAATTTAAATTCTATACGTTAAGAGTCCTTGATATTCTCTTACCAATGGGGTTTATAATATGAATTCAAATTTCAAATCTTTTGTTTATGTGTGTAAAAAAGATTTGATACTTCTTTCTGGAGGAACTTTCGGTCGAATCGCGTGATAACAATGACCTTTCTTGTTGTCTAGGTAAAAGCTCATAAACCTTCCTTCACTCCTCTCTACTTTCTCACTTTTTGTTCAAGACTTGTCTAAAGGCAAATATAAATGACTTCTTCTAAAAGCGTGTCTTATGTTTCCTTTTCCCTTATTTCCTATGCCCTTAAAAAGATTGGTAATTACTTGCAAGACATATATAATCTTGTTGGCTTTAAGCGTATCATCATCATCATCTTTCTTAAGTACTAAAGCATGCTTATGTTTCCAATTCATTAAGTTTTGAGTTCGATCACCCAACGTTTGTTATCATGCCTCTTTACCACTTTCTTGAAATCAAGAACCAGAAAGACGAGTCTCGGAAGGGAGAAGAAAAAACCAGAAGAGGATAAAAATTCGGAATGTTTTACCCAACAAAAAATAGCATAAAATTAAGGAGTCATAAATAGAAGTTTCATGTTCAAATCCTAGAAAGATGGATTGATACCGAGGAATACCTCTTATTCTATAACAAAACGTTTATTAGATATTCTCACGACAAAACAAAAGTCTAACAGGAGAAAGTTCATAAACAAAAAAAAGTTTTCCATCCAACTTTCAACTCTAGTACGTTTGAAACATGAACTTCTAACACAATGTTTAACAGCAATTAGCTGGACACCATTGCGTGTTTCGAGGCGTTATTGTGCACATTTTTACTTTCTTTCTTTCATACTTGACAATTTAGGCATTTTGTTTGAATTTCGTACATAAAAGACGTCTAAGAACTCAAGCTTATTCACATTGATCTTCAGTGCACATTAATATTTTTGTCACCACATACAAATAATAATATTAAAATTAGAAAAAATGCTTCGGTGACACCATAGTAATAGGTACCATTTTCAAAAATAAATAGGATTTAAGGTTAAATTTAAAAAATAAAAATATTAAATGACATAATAATCATTAAAATAAAATAACTTTTCTTGTATTTTTTCAGGAAAATACTAATTTTATAAAATTATGATGATTTTTTTCTTGACACTATTGATATCACGTAGTACTACTTTAAAATTAGTATCCATCATTCTTTTCAACGGATAGCTCAAGCCCTTTTCTTAACTCTTATTTCCGGCCTAAACAACATTTGCCAGAACTTTTAACTAATTTTACCAACTAAACAAGTAATTGGGAAACCATGTGCAGAGATTGAAATGGAGTGAGCATGAAAAGATGCAGAGTACTAGAGTAATGATTGAAGTACCATCTTGATGAAATAATTACAGTGTCCTTTTAATAATGAGAATCAGTGGCCCAGTCCATCGTAGGAATGATTACTAGTTTAATCAGTCAGCTTAGATTACCGGAGACATGCATAGTGGAATAAAACCGAATACCCCACAAGACACCTTCTTGACCTAACCAACATCTTAGCAGAAGTTAGCAGAAGTTGTCAGTTTGCCTTGGAATGCTCATAGTTCCATGCCTAACAAATATATTGTAGATTGGCAGTGGCTATTTGTGGGCAATCCAAATGAAATATGAACACAAAACTTTGAAATTAGTACACAAATATTCACTTTGAAAAGTACATTGGCAAGTAAAAAGAATAACTAAGCCTCGTTTCATGTCAATTTTAAGAAAATCAAATTAATGCACCATGGGCTTCTTGTCTAGTGGTCTGAATGTTGTAGGGGAAGAAGCCAATGGAAGTACCTGAGAAGAGCTTGAATGATATTGTGGCAGGTGATGTAGAATTTCACTTTCTTTGTTCTTGCCAACAATAAAGCCTAAAAAAGACCCTTCTGTCTCTTCTGTTATCATGGTTGAATTAGGTACTTTAATCTCTGATGAATCTTGAACAGAAACACGATTTTTGGATGCCCTTTTCTCAGCTTCTTCCATTAGCCTTCTAAACAGTTTCTCCTCTGCATCCCTTAAAAACTTGAATTTTGGAGGTGGGGACGATCTTAGCCTGCCAAGCTCTGCTTCCATTGATGATTCAAAGAGTGGATTGAATCCATGGTGATTATAAGAATCCAAACCATTGAAAGGAGGAGATTTAAAACGTGGAGAAGCCAAAGGAGTAAGGAAGGGGGTGTCAATAGTGACCATAAGATCACTCAAGCTTCGTGTCCTTGACCCTTTCCTGCTCCTATCCCCTCTAGACTTACCATCATCAGACTCCAAATCCTCCTTTGTTTCCTCTTTTATAGTGAAGAGAAATCTTGGTGGACCACAGAGATTGTGAAGCCTCATGATCTCAGACTCCACACTTTCTTCACCAAATGCTTTTATAAGCAAATCTTTGCTCGTGCCTAATTCTAGGTCTGGTTCTTGGCAAGGAGCTTCTGGATCTCTCACACCATCTTGAGTAATGTTATTTCTGGAAGAGGAGGGTTTCTTCCAGCAAATAAGATGAAATAATTCCTTAGCATAGTTGCTGCTATAATCATCATTGTTGCCAAATCTCTTCTTCCACCATAGCAAGTAGTATAGCTCTGCAACGAGTGCTAAGAAAAGGCATCCAAAGACTAGGCTTAAACAAATACGTAACCCACTGAAAGATGTCATCTTGATCTGCAAATTCACATCTCCAAAGCAACTAATCTTAGATTGAATTTTGCTCAAGTTTTTCCCAGAATATTAAACAAATACAAATCCTTTCCTATTCTTTCAGCAGAACTTCTCTGTGATAAGGGAATTCACGAAGAACCAAAACCCATCATGGATTCCCAAAATGCACTACTAATTTTGTTGGAAAACACCCAAAAGAAAAGAAAAGGACAATACTTGAAAGAAAAGCAGAACTCCTGGAAACTACCTAATGAGTGAAATAAAACACCGTCCTCTGGTGAAATGTTACCTTCCCAAATCAGAAGCCAAGGCCTAAGAATTTTTCTTAACATGGACAAAAACAAGAACTAAAGGTATCTCTCTAAATACACGCTACAAAGGAATCCTGTGTGTCAACAGTGGAAATTCAGTGCAGAGAAAGACTTACCTTGTAAGTTGTAAGTACAACAACTAATAGCAAACCCAAAACTAAAGATATGAGAAAGCATTGATATGATTGATGGTATGGGCAAATCTTGTAAAATGTGTGGAATTTTAGTTCGAGAGGCAAATCACATGGGATTGCCAAAGCGTGTGTGCCATTTATCCAGGCATAAGATACAAATATCGAGTGTATGACAGCAGTCAGGAAAGAAAATTAGAAAGAAGAAAGTGAATAAAAAGTAGATTAAATTAATCTTTAGTTACTGATTTTTGAAACTAATTGTAATTTAGTCATTGTTTCATTGAAAACATATAGTAATATACACTCTTCTAACTCAGAAAATAGCGTATCCTATCAAAATATTTGTTGGCTTTTTCTAAATCCCAAATAAGAAACAACACAGTGGGGGTTTAGAGAAAAATCAAATATTTTAATAAGACAATAATCAACAAGAATTAAGGGATTGAGTTGTAGGTTTTCAAACATGAAGGACTAGGTTATAATACCTTCAAAAGTAAAAGACTAAAGAATAAATTACTCAAGCGGCTAAGATTCTTGGTCCGCATAAAAAAATAAAAAAATAATTAGCGGTGATTGCATCACCCATGGGGAGTCCACGTTGTCTAACTGGACTGAAAGATACTGCCAAAGGAAACAATCGTTAAACATGTAGTTCTTAGCTGGGTGGCACTTCATGAAGGTTATAATCAAAGCGTGATCCAGCTTTTATACATCGCTTATTGACAGACGCAAATGGGAGAAATACCTCTACAGTGTCTGAACTTAATCCTTTGTCATAATCAAGTGAGTTAATGAACTTTCATTGAAAAAAAAACACTAGAAGAAAATAAGTTTTTACTATTCATACGTTCACGTATTATTATTATTTTTAACTATTCATGCTATTGTTGTAATTTTTAAAAGCTTTTGAAATATTTTATATGAATCATTTTATATTTTTAAGAATGTTATATTTTTGTTATTAATTTTTTTTACATATTTTTGTTTTGATTCTAAACTTTATATGTATTATGGTTTGATATTCAAATGTAGAAAAGAAAGAGAAATAGAAGAAGACAAGAGAGGAAAGAGAGAGGCATGGCGAGGCCTCATCTGGCAACGATGTATCGTTTATTTTTGTAAAACTAGGTTGCGTGAGTCTTGTTTGGTTTTTCTCTCCTTTTTTCAATGACTTTTTTCACTTTTTTTTTTTTTTTTTTTTTTTAGCAAAAAAGCATGAAAAATCATTCTTTTTTCCATGGAACCTGATAAGAAAGATATATAATATGTTTTTATATTTTAGATTGAACATATATTTTATATTATGTTATTTTCATCATTTAAAATTTATTATTTTAATTTGTTATTTGTTTTGAAAATTCTCATCTAATTAGTTCAAAAATATATTTATTGATAATTTTGATTTATTTTTCTCTATGTATGGATTTTGAAAGACACTAAAACAAATAAGTTTTTATTATTCACACGCTCACAAAATTGCTATTCCTTTCACTATTTATAGCATCGTTGTAATATTTAAGAGATTTTGAGGCATTTGATATGCAACATTTCATGCTTTTAGGAATATTATATTTTGGTTCTTAATTTTTTTACGTATTTTTGTTTCGATTCCAAGCTTTATTTGTATTATGGTTTGATACCTAGATCTAGAGAAGAGGGAGAAACGAGAGGAAGACAAAGGAGGAGAGAGAGAAGGCATGACAACGCCTCATCCGGCCAACGATACGTCATATGTTTTTTTAAAGACGACTCACATAGGCCTTGCTTGGTTTTTCATTTCTCTGATTTTTTTTTCAATGACATTTTTTATTATTGATTTTTTTTTTTTTGCAAAAAATATGAAAAATCAGTTATTATTAATTTTTTTTTAAACAACCTAACAAGATATATATATATATTATGTTGTAGATTGAACATATATTTCATATTGTATTATTTTTATTATTTAAAATTTATTACTTCAATTTGTTATTTGTTTTGAAAATTCTCATCTAACTAATTTTAAAATGTATTTATTAAAAATTTTGATATGAATTTTAGAATAATTTTTTAGAATGTGATTTTTTTAAAAAAAATTATATAATTTATATGATCGATTCTTAGAGTTTTAAAATTATAATAGCATAATTAATATACATAGATGTGTGTGTGTGTGTGTGTTGATCATGCTATTATAATTTAAAAACTCTAAGAATCAATCATATACATTATATAAATCTATTTTTTAAAATAATCATATTCTAAAAATTTATTCCAAAATACATACATACATATATAATTTGTTTGAAACATATCGTTTAGATTAAAAGTGTATTTCAAATAATTTATCTCAATTTTTTTTAAAAATAATTTTTTAATTAATAATCAAAAGTCAAATGCGGAAAACAAAAGGGAGATGATTGCTTTATGTGTGAGGCATGTGCAAAAGGACTAACCATGTATGGCCTAGAAATAAAAATTATCTAAGAAGGAAAAAAACTTACGTGTTTTATTTGCTTCTTCTTTATATAATCAAAATTTATTAAAATTAATTTTGTACTAATTTTTATTTTAGTCTATTAACTTCAAAATTATTCAATATATTCTTTACAAGTTATATTTTCTTATAGTATTTTTTGTTTTATACTATAAACTACGAACTCACTTAGTATCGTTATGATGTATAAAAAAATATTGAATCATTAATTTTTTTTAAAAAAATTAACTATGTGACTATAACAATATTAAGCATTTACTATTTATTTATTTTTGAATATTTTGAGATTAATTTCTTTCAAATTAAATAATTGAAATTATGCTTTGACATAATTATTCAATAATTCAAACATAGTTTTTTATCCTAATATTATTCCTTTTTTTTTTTTTGTGAATAAGTATATAAAAATCAAGTGCACATGTTTTCAAAAGCTGATATTTTCATCAATACTTAATAAAAATCAATTGTTTTTATTTGTTCACTTCTATGTAAGTTTTTATTAATTGTTACTTTATTTTTTCGATAGAATATTTTAAAATATTAAAGCTTTTTAATTTTTTAAAATTTTTTTATTAAGAATCCATGGATTAAGAAGAATAAATTATTTTTTTCATAAAAAAATTATGAAAAACACAAAGAAGAAATAGTTAAATACAAAATTTTGATTAAAAAAATTATAAATACACATATTTATATTTATATTTTATTTCATTTATTTTTGCAAACCTGCAACATAGCACATACTATCAAACTAAAATTATTTTACCTATTTTACCCGACCTACGGTGTAGCTTAGGAAAAAAAAAACTAGTTTTTACTATTTAAAAAGCTTTTTCAAACATTTAAAATATACTAAATCACCCAAGAGGGTTGGTTTGAGTGGAATGGACTCTAGTCACTTAAGCAAATAATCTCATCTTTGAGTCTTTGTATATGCTAAAAAGTCTCCGGGTAGTTGTTTTTGCCTTCAGTGCCCTACACAACAATGATGGATTAGCTCGAATCTTTAGACCTAAAAATTCGAAAGGATAATATATATATTAAATCAAGTGCATATGGAATTATGATCGTGTTATGGCAAATTCAATTTCATTCCTTGAATTCATTAAACTTAGTTAGGTTAGTACATATGTGGATTTATGCTATCTCTTGTATTAAAAGTTCTAAAATATACTAACAAATTAAACTCCATATCTATGGATAATGGTGTGTGCGATGATACTATGGTAAGAATATTAGAATAAAAACTTTTTATGTTTCAATAATAAAATTAGAAAAACATTTGAAGATAGAAAAAGACAAAAAACTAAGTTCTCAACAATTATAGATGGAAAAACTTTTAGAGAAGCTAAAAAATATTTAAAAGGCCTTATCGTTGGGAACATGAAAGTTTGAGAAATTATGTTGCAAGCATGCATATGTTGATTGTTGAAGAACATGAAAACCTAAAATAGAAGGACGATTATTTGAAATTGAAAGCCATAATACTCATAAAATTAAGTGAAGAAATTGAAAGAGAAATTTAATCTAATTCATGATGAATGTCATAACCCATTTTTGCCCTCTTGTTTATTTTCATACAAAAAAAAGAAGATAAATTCAAAAAAAAAAAAAAGGAATGTTGTATAGTTTGTCTTTTTTCATGATTTTTAGGCATTTTTATAAATTTTTAGGATTTTAATTTCTTAGAATTATTCCTCATTTTTAATTAAAGAGAAGAAACGAAAAAAAAGAAGAAAAATTTGGGAGATGATTCGGGATACAATAAAAAATTATATGAGAAGTGAGGACCAAGTGACATTCAATTAGGGATGTAATTGAAAAAGGGATAAAAATCAAGGAACTTGATTGAGAATTAATTAGTGCAAAGGTAAAAAAAATCAAGAGAATATGAATTAAATAATTTCAAGTAAAGAGTTAATTAGAGACAAATAATAGCATATATATTGAAATTGACAAAAATAATCCAAAGGAAGGAATTAAATTGATTTTATCCCAAACCCTAAAAAATCCTTATATAAACACCATTTTCACTTCATTTTAAGCCTCCATGATGATTCTCCTATCCTAAAAATCTAGCCTTCATCATTCATTTCTCTACTTAAAAAAAGCCTCCATTACTCATCTTTTACCAAAAAATCTTAACTTTCATTATTCACCTATCATAAAACAACCTAACCCTAACTACCTATCACCCCTACAAAAAAAAAAAAAAAAAAAATAGCCAAGATGTAAAAGGATCACTATTCATCATCTCTTTAAAAACATTACAGGACATGGATCCCAAGAGAATAAAAAACCAAAAAAGAAAAAAAAAGAAAAAAGGATTATGCTAAAAGCCCCTCGAAGGGGTTGCGAGCCGGATCATTGGCGGGTCGATTCGTAGACCCGTCGGCGTTCCTATCTTGAATCGGCCATCCTTTGGCCGAAATTACTTCGATCCACCACCACAAATTGATAGCCCATCACTAAATTCATCATTTTCAATTGGTTAGGGAAGAAAAAGACATCCGAGAAGGGAGAAATCTAGGAGAGAAGGTCAACGAGCCGACTCGATTGTGTACCCATCATTTTCGAGGCCAAACCAACAATCTTCACCACCACGAAGTGTCCCTTATCCTCCTATAAGTTGTCTCTCATTGGAAATTATGGTGAAATATCATCAAAATTGGCCAAATCAAAGAGAAGAGGGATAGACCGACCTATTCACTCGCTTCTTCCAAATCCGACCAAATCTCCTCGATCCAACCAAGCCGAGCCTCCTAACCACTATAAAAAAGCTCATTGTGGTCCTTTGAGCAGCTTGGTGGTCTCCCCTTATCATGTCATGGTTAGAATCTCTATTGAGAAGAGAGGGAGAAACGATCAAACCTTCGATTACATCGATCTCCCTCGCTTTCCCTCCGTCGACGGTTGCCACCACCATGGGACGACCGGCGAGGACCTCCTCCTCCATGTGAGCTAGTCAACATGCCGGAAGGATACCGGATGGTGACTGGAGCAAGCGACAATAACATGAGGGTTTCGAGGGGTAATTTTATAATTTGGACATATAGGAGTATTTTTGCTAATTTTTCCCATAAAGGCATTTTGGTCATTTTCGAGCATATCACAGGGGCATTTTTATCATTATCTAGTGACCATTCGGTTTGGTTTTTTATTCTTTTTAATTATTTTATAACAATGCTAATTTTATTTGCGTTAGAAAATCTAAAAATATTTAGTTTGTGAGATTTATTTTAATGTATGGAGTTAATTTGGTTGTGCTTATTAGACAAACAAGTCTCCTATTTATTAAGGATGAACAATGACTTTGATATACTTTATCCAACAATGAAAATACTAAAAAAATAATAAGGAATCAATTTGGATCGATTTTATTTAACATTTTGCGTAAACATTTGTAGTTAATTAAATCGTTTCTTGACATGCCAATCCTATTGAGACTTTAATTCGAATCCAATGCTAAATTGATGAGGCTCTCAAATTTTAGGGTCGGATGTTAATTTAATACAATGTCACGGAAAAAAAATTGAAAATATTTTCCTCGTATAGCTTAAAATAAAACATGAGAAGAAGAAAAAGAAATAAAGTGTTTTACGCAATCTTAACGAGTCTCATATCTAAGAGGGACTAATATTAATTCAAATTAATAATATTTTAGTAATTTGGTTATTTTTTTGACATACTCGTTATGTCGAGACTTAAACCGAATTTGATGTGGAATTGATGACACTCCCGATGGTAAGATCCGAATTCAATAAAATGCTATGAACAAAAAAAATAATAATAATTTGACTTAGATAATAAACTTGAAAATTGACTCATAAATATTTTGGCAAAAAAATAAACTTTTAAAAGATAAAATTTTAGAATTAAACTAGACGTGATACCTTTCCTCGCAAAGAGTGTCTTTAGGTGATTGATATTTTTTCAAAGGTATAACAAACTCTTTGTCCTAGAATCTCTAAATTGGTCTCAATTTTAGATTTATAGTTCCTTTAATACTAGGTGACGACTCTAAAAACTTATTTTATCTCACATCTCCAAATCAACAAATTTTAACTTATTATTTTTAGAAGTCCTACGGATGTCGGGTAGCGACAATGAAGAAGAAATGACAATATCTATAATGAATAATATAACCAAAATCTTCCCAACCCGATGCAAAATAGTGGAAAATGCACCATATACACGAGATATAAAAACTCGATAGTAAAAAAGCAAGATTTCAAGTCATTTCATTCATAGAAAAACCAATACTAATTCATTACCTATTAATTAACATCGAGCGATAAAAAACTTATAAAATGTTTGAAATTACAATTCTAAACATCATATTCTTTTTTTATTTTTTTATCAAAAAAAGTAACTCGGCAAGCAAAAGATTATAATTAAGCATGGAAGTCAATTCTAGTAAAATTAAAAAAAGGATCCAACAAATGTAATAGTATCCATTAACTTTTGAATAGTGTTACATCCCTTATGTTTCTTAGGATCTTATCTAAATAAATTCTTTAAGAAGATGTAATTGGTATGATTTTCTTGTTTTTTTCTTTCAAAATTGAAAATTTGCTTAATTTTTTTAATGTAAAAAAACTACTTAATCTCAATTGATAGAGGTGTTCACTATTTGATGAAAATCGAAAAATCGAACCGAACCGTATCGAAATATCAATTTCAATGCGGTTTTTTTTTAGAATTTCTTTTAAAAAACCTATCCGATATATAACGATTTTCAATTTCGATTTTGGTTTTTTTTAAAAAAAAATCGATTAATGGAATAACCGAATTATTAAAAAAAAATTCTTTTAAATTCATGAGTGAAATGACATCGTTTCACTCCTTTTTATTCCGAATTCATAAACCTAAAATTTAGTATGATTGATAAAACCAGCTTAAACATTTTCCTACACTTGTCCTCTAGGGAAAAGGACTAGAAAGCAAATGGTATCAATTTTTTATACTTAAAAGGACGAGTCCATAAATATTATGAGGCAATTGGCCTTGGGGAAGATAGTCCTTTAGTGCCCCGATACTTACTTCCCAAGGGCTAAATATCAAGTTGAGAGAGTGTCATGTAACCCGTAGGTCTCTCATTGTAATGGCATGGAGGGACATAATTCAATGAGGAATCAATAACTTACACATCGAAACTTTTCCTATGACTTTTTGTTCTTCTGGGGATTGATGCCGGTTACTCATAAGTTTAATGAGTATAAAATTTATAAAGAACTTACTATTTGTTGGTTTAGGAGGATATAAAGCTTTAATTGCCACTCGAATCAATAAGTGGACCGATAGCAAGATCTTCTTCAACTCCCGGATTGTGAATAACAAAGTCTACAATATCAAGCGGGGCTTTGAATGCCCAAGCATACGAGTCCCATCCATTGCTACTATACATTGTTTGCATTGGTAGCACGCCCCATTCGGGAGATACCGATATGTTCAACTTTTCCTCTTAAGATCATAAAATCTTTGCAATTCTAATTAAGTTATTGATCGAATCAATATATGATATTGAGTATTAATTACGAGTAAAAACCGAATTATCGAATAAAAAAACCTATATATTTCAAAACCAAACCAAAAAACTGAATAATAATTCGGTTCGGTTTCGATTATTTTTTTGGATAATTCGATTAATCGAAAATCGATCAAAAAATTTCAAAATCAAACCGAATTATCGAATAAACACCCCTATTAATCGAAGACTTGAGCTCTTTGAATCAACACTCAAAATAATAAAAATTAGAAATTACAATCCTATCTTTTACCTTGCCTCTACCTAGTCTTTAAGGGCACCAATTTCAACCTCGAACACCGCGAACCCTATCCCTACTTGACCTTAGATGCCCAAAACCAAACCTTGGGTGCCTCGGACTCGATGCCATCTCGACCTCGGCTCGATCCTTGAACGTCATAGATCCCTTATTCACCTAATCCTCGAATGGTGTGTACCCGACCTTATATCGAATCACGAGTGCTTCGAACTTGATCTCGGCTCAACCCTGCAGTGCCTTAAACTCGATTGTTTCTTCAACCCTCGAACTCCCAATACCCGAGACACAGGTGCCCCGAACCTCACGACCTCTAAGCCTTAGACTCGATCTCTACCCGATCTCTAGGTGTCTCGAGCTTAATCCGTTAATTCGACCCCATCCTCATATGTTAGTGCTCGGGACTTAACCTTCGAAGGCTCGACCCTCGCATGTCTCGAACTCTATCTAAGCTCGACTTCTAGGCTCCCTAAATATAATCTCAAGACATCCTCGATTTGACCTCACGGCTCAACATCCCTAACCTCAAAGAACCACAATCTTGACCTCGACTTAACTCTTAAGAACCTTAAATGCTCGAACTCTACCTTTAATTGCCCTCGATTTGACCCCGTAAGCTCTCGGATTTGGTTCCAACCTAATCCTCTAAGACCCTTGACTTGACCACATTTGACCTTTGGATGCCCTAGACTTGACCATGTTAGAACCCTTGGAAGCCTTAAGAATGACCCGACTCATTATTGAAGCATTCCAAACTTGCTTCCAGCCCAATCTTCACACTCCTTGGATAGAATCCTAGTTGGATCCTTAAGTTACACAAACTTGAATCCCTAACGTTCCAAACCCCACTCTTTGGACTCGGTTCAAACTTGACCTTTGAGCATCCTAGATACAACCTCTAACTTGATTCCCGAGCACCCTAGCTTGACTCGAGTAGTCCAAAGCCGAAACACTATTTTTTAACAATTCTAATAAAATTTGACTTCCGAATCATAGGTTGATAATGTAAATTAAAAAAAAATTGAAAATTTTTGAAAAACTATTTTTTTTTGTTCGAACTCGTTCTTCATTTTTATTTTATTAAAAATAAAAATAAAATGATATCAAATAACTTCTAAAAATTTTTCCCATTAAATCGAGTATGATGGAATGTCTTATAATCAAATTTCATTGACAAAGAATCAAGATTTTCATCTTACTATTGTTATAGTATGATACATGAATTTTGAAGGCATGCTTGTGGAATGACTCGTTCATTTAACAAGGCAAAAGTAAGCTTAAATGAATCACATTGACTTTCTTTCATCTTCATTTTATAGATTGATTTTCAAGGCTTTGTTTGCTATCTTGGTCCAACGAAATGTAAGCAACAAGATAGCTAGTTCCTTTGTACTATAGCAAAATGGAGTTAGGGTTATGTTGCGAGCCAGTTGTTGTCAGAACTGCTACCAATAGCCTGTAACAAGCCTAGACAAGCCCACAAAACATTAGCAACGTGAAGGGAGCTCGTGTAAGGAAAATGCTAGCGAAATACATTGATTATAGGCTGCCACAATTAGTGTGTGAGTCTATTATAGGTATTGAGAATATGCAAGTTGTAAAAGTGGTATTCTATTAGTTTGTTACGTAAACCAATTATAAAATATGATGAGGAATAGACAAAGGACAACAAGAATTATTCTCATTCTTCCCTCACCTTTTCTCTCGCCCTGTCTCCCTCATTTCTTACTTCTCCTCCGGTTTCTCTTTTTTTACGTGAAGGTCCGCTCCCTTAAATCCAAATACAAAGCTCGTAACATTTTTGGTGCTTTCATTGAGAGCGATCGAACACCATGATCGAGGGAATGGTAACTCATGCAAAGGCCCTCGAAGACGAAATCATTAAGATGTCTAACCAACTTAACCATTAATCATTCATGATTTCTAAGCTTGTTACTATTGACAACAACACTCATCTACATTTGATAAACTACAACAACAACACCTTGAAACCTATGAGAAACTCCAAAACTCCATCTCTACCCAATAGACAATCGTAGTCGACATGATGTTCAAGATAGCCAAATGGGAGAAACAATCTATTCAACCTCCCCTGCTCCCTCTTCCAAACAACCCACTCGGATCACATACACCGTCTACCTCTTATCAATCCGTTAGCAACCTACCCAACAACCATCACACCATTATCCCTACAACTAAACCACCACACACCTCCAGCCCACGACTACCCAAATTGGAGATATCATTGTTCACTAGAGCCAACGTCCATAGGTGGTTATTCCAGATTGAACACTTTGTCACTTTCCACAAGACCCCACCGGATTAGAAACTAACAATAGCAACCTTCTACATGACAAACATAGCATTACAATGGTTCCAATGGATGCACTCAACATTGCAACTATCCACTTGGGAGGAATTCACCCAACAATTAGAACTTAGGTTTAGTCCCTCCAAATTCATCAACCATGAAGCTCGGCTTTACAAGCTTAAACAACTCAACACGATTACTGATACTATTTATCGAGTTTGAGACCATCTCCTCTCGTATCACGGGACTTAGCCATACTAATTTGCTCAATTGCTTCATCTCGGGATTGCGGATGACTTCCAACGGGAGCTATGTCTCCTCAAACCACAATCCCTCCATGAAGCCATGGGAATGGCTAGGCTAGTAGAGGATAAATGCAATGCTGCAAGGATAACCAATAGTCGAGTACACCCACCCAAAATACACAACTCCTTTTCACCATTCTTTCGCTCCCTATCTTTGCCATCAAGCCTAAATCCATCGAGAAACTATCAACCCACTCATACCCATCCACAACCCAAACCAACCCCTTTTCCTATTAAACATCCGACCCCAACAGAGATGGTTGCTCAAAGAGAGAAAGGGCTTTACTTCAACTGTGATGAAAAGTTTATGTCGGGGCATCGATGCAGGCCTCCCCGGTTTCTTTGCCTTATGGTCGAGTGTGGTGATGAGCCTCATGATGCGGATTTGATAGACGATGAAATGCCGACGAGACACCACTTAACTCATGGGTGTAGGTGACGGCGTTGAGATGGAACCCCAAATCCATTCCATGCTCTCATCTGGGCAAATGGTCCCCTCCATATTGAAACTAGCGGACTCGATAAATGGGCATCCGATCATAGTTCTAATAGATGGGGGATCCATAAATAATTTCATACAAACAAGGCTAGCCTCATATTTGAGCCTACCCATCCAACCCTCTTCCCACCTTAAAGTAATAGTGGGCAACAAGGACTCCCTAGGATGTGGGGGAACTTGCCTCCAAACTCCTCTTCAACTGGACCAAGCCAAGTTTTCGGTAGACTTGCTCCTCCTCCTAATAGACGGTGCTGATTTAGTCCTAGGGGTGTAGTGGTTATCCGAGCTAGGACCCATTTTGTTTGATTACAAATCTCCGTGGATGGAATTCCATCACCAAGGCTTCAAGATTCGTCTCTTTGGATTGTAGCAACCTTCCCCGGCCCATATCAACCTACAACCACTCAAACGTTCCACCCAAACCCACTCGGTGGCCCAATACTACGATCTTTCCATAGACATAATCAAGCCCTCTCCACAACCCGTGATAGGAGCCGATGCACCCCCTATTTTCCTTTCCTCTTTACAAAACCTTTTCTCTATATTTGGAAGCATCTTTGCTAACCCTAACGGCTTACCTCCTCAAAGACTCATCGACCATCACATACCATTACTACCAAACACACCTCCGGTAAATGTCCATCCCTATCGTTATCCTCATTTTCAAAAATCCGAGATAGAAAAGTCGATGGGGGAAATGCTTTCGGATGGAGTGATTCACCCTAGCTCTAGTCCCTTCTCATCACGATGCTCCTAGTGAAGAGAAAGGATGGCTCATGGTGCTTTTGCGTCGACTACCGAGCTTTGAACATAGTCACAATCAAGGATCACTTCCCAATCCCCATAATGGATGAAATTTTGGATGAACTTCATGGAGCTTGTGTTTTCTCTAAACTTGATCTTCGTGCGAGTTATCACCGAGTTCGGATTCACCCACGGGACATTAAGAAGATGGCATTTTGCACACACGAGGATCACTATGAGTTCTTGGTGATGCCCTTTGGACTCTCTAACGCCCCTTCAACCTTTCAAGCTCGATGAATTCCATCTTCGAAACATCCTACGTAAATTTATCCTCATCTTCTTCGACAATATCCCGATGTACAACCCCTCTTGGGAGAAGCATTTAGAGCACTTGGAGACGAGTGTTTTTCACCCTCCAATCCCATTCCTTATTTGCAAAACAATCCATGTGAGTTTGGCTATTCGGAGTTCGGATATCTTAGGCATAAGATTTCGATTAGGGGTGTTGCAGTAAATTCGACAAAGTGGTTACTATCCAGCAATGGCGATTGCTCGTCTTTGTTAAAAGTTTGAGGGGATTCCTTGGCTTGACGAGTTATTATCGACGGTTTTTTGTTAGATACTCCACAATTGCGGCTCATTTGAGTCGACTTCATGAAAAAATATGTTTGCATGGACACCATCGGCTACCTCAACGTTCAATGAATTGAAACGCGCTCTCTCAAGCACTCATGTTCTAGCTCTTCTAAATTTTTCGAGCCATTTGTGCTATAAACCGATGCATCTAAGCACTGGTATTGGGGCGATGCTATCTCAACAAGGACATCTCATAGCTTACTTCGGTAAAAGGCTAACACTACGCTTGCGGACTACCTCTACTTATGCTCGGAAGATGTTGGTCATAATCGAATCAATTAAAAAGTGGCGCTAGTATCTCCTCGGGCGTCGATTTACCATCCAAACGGACCACCAAAGTCTCGGGGCCTAATCAAACCATCTAAACCCCCGAGCGAAGAAAATGGCCGACTAAGTTCGCTCGGATATGATTTTGACATTGTTTACAAACTTGAAATGGAGAACAAACCCGCGGATGCATTGTCCCGTCTTTCACAAGGCTCATTCCTTGCTTTAAAAATGGCCTCCAAGCCTCTCATAGCATTATGGGATGCACTGCGGGAGTTTTATAAGAACCATGCTCCTTCGGCCTAATTGATTAATTCCATTCGAACTCCCTCGATGAATTCCCACAACACACGAGTAAAAGATGGCTTAGTGTGGTACAAGGGAGAATATTCATTCTTCCCGATTCGGTATTCCAAACATTAATCTTGATGGAATTCCACAATTCCCCTGTCGGAGGACATGCTTGGTATGCAGCGAACCTTAGCTGAATTGCGAGCATCTTCTACTGGCCTAAGCTTGGACAATCCATTCGTGATTTTATGGCCAAATGTGCTCGTATGTCAAACCATCAAACCCTTTAACAAAGCCCCTCGAGGACTCCTCCAATCGTTGGCCATTCCCGTAAAATATGGGATTCCATTTCAATGGATTTTGTAACTCACTTACCCCTTCTATTGGCAAAAAATTGTCATGGTAGTAGTGGACGGACTATCCAAACACGCTCACTTTTCAGCACTCGGACCCCAATTCTCTCGCCCTCGGAGTTGTCGAAGTCTTTTTTTATGAAATTGTTCGCATCCATGGTTTCCCAACCAGCATAATTTCGGATAGGGACCCCATATTTATAAGCTCCTTTTGCCGTGAGTTATTCAAACTACGAGCACCACTCTCGCCACCGGTAGTGCTTATCATCCCCAAACGGACGGCCAAGCCGAAGTCTTAAATCGATGTCTCAAAGACTACCTGCGCCGCTTTGCTTCGGACCACCCTAAATAGTGGTTACAATTCCTTCCGTGGGTCGAGTGGCACTACAACACATCCCGGCATTCGGCCATTAAAATGACCTCATTTGAAGATGTGTTTGCTCGATCCCCCTATCACTCCTAAATTATGTGAGCGACACTTCTTCCGTTAATGCTATGGATGAGTTGCTTCGGTCTCGATCAACCATGCCGACCACTTTGCGAGAAAATTTACTTCGGGCTCAAACCGGGATGCGAAATCAAACAAATTACAAGCGTATCGATGTATCCTTCTAAGTGGGTGATTGGGTTTTCTTAAAACTCCAACCATATAGACAATCTTCACCGGCTCATAGGCAATCCAACAAACTATCCAAACGATTCTTCGGACCACTTTCGGATCACCTGGTCGTGTGGGATCGGTGGCATATCGGCTGGCATTTCCTCCCTCTACACACATACATGACGTGTTCCACGTCTCTAACCTCAAAAAATATGCTTGGCGACCCTCCGGTTCGATAAGTTCCGTCGCCACAACATTTTGTGGATCATCACCCCGTCTTGAAACCAGGCATCAATGTTAGGGTTCGGAAAAATCGCCCAACGAGGTCAGCTTGTGTTCTTAAGTTTTGATTCGATGGGAACATCAATCACCCTCCGATGCTACTTGGGAACCACTCCATGAGTTCTATCGGGATTTTCCGACCTTCGACCTTGAGGACAAGGTTTGTCTTGAAGGGGAGAACAATGTTGCGAGCCGAGTTGTCGTAGCTGCTACCAATAACCCGAACAAGCTCAAACAAGTCCACAAAACATTGGCAACATGAAGGGAGCTCATGCAAGGAAAATGCAAGCAAAATACACCGATTATAGCTACCATAATTAGTGTGTGAGTCTGTTATAGGTATTGAGAATATGCGAGTCTGTAAAGGTGGTATTCTATTAGTTTGTTACATAAACCAATTATAAAACATGACGAGGAATAGACAAAGGACAACAAGAATTATTCTCATTCTTCCCTCACCTTTCCTCTGCTCTGTCTCCCCCATTTCTTACTTCTCCTCTGGTTCCCTTCTTTTTTACGTGAGGGTCCGCTCCCTTAAATCCAAATACAAAGCTCGCAACAGGTTATCAATTTATCATGTCTTGCATGTGCCAACAGTAATTTTTTTTTTCTTTACTGGTTTGGTCCCGTTATTCATTTAAAAGATAAATAAAATAAAAGATAAAAGCATTTCAACTCTTGTATTAAAATAAAAATAAAATAAAACGCTTGGAAGTTGAAATTAGAATCAAACTTTTACATGAAAATCTACAAAGATAAGAACCATCACAATCATAAACATCAATATATTCCTGATGACAACAATGTCAAGGTTTCTACTTGCCCCTTGACCACACTAAAGATGAGCCACCCATGAAGCGCCACCTCAACGCCCCGATCCACCAGCTTAATTCTTAGCTCACAACCATACGCCACAAAACAAAGTGAGCTACAGTTCTACACATATAGATAGACGTTGCTACACATATATAGATAGACGTTTCAACTATCCCGGCAAACCCACCAGGCCCCTACTTCTATTCCCAAAGCCTAGGCCTTACCTAGCTACAACCTTACAGCCCTACCGGCTGTCATTTTGTTCTCAATGACATTTATACCCTCCATTCCTTCAATGGCGTCAACCTATATATCTAGCTAGCGTTCCCAGTCAGTATCTGTCATTCCCGAGATGTGTAACCACTAGGCAACAAATCCACTACCTTCATACAGAATGGAACAAAGAGAAAATGGATTGCCTATGGGCATTATTGTCTTTCCGTGCTATCCTGATTTTTAAACGAAGAAGACGAACGAAACCAAAGCCTCCCTCAGCCGCTACCCACCATGTTTTCAGAGTTTTTTAGCACCAAAAACGATACGCATGTCAAACACCTTTTTTTTTTCCTCGTCTTTTTGTTTGACTCTATGCCTCTGTCCTTTAATAATCTCTATATAAATAGAGTACAAAACCATGCAAATCTTAACCCAAATTGCCTTTCTCTATCTCTCCCGCTTTGACTCCCTATTTGTCTTTAAGGGCTCCTTTATAAACCCTATCTATCCCTTTTACCTTTTTTTGGATCAAGAAATTGTAGAAGCTCTTAATTTAAGTTTTAGAAAGAAAGATATGGAGAGTGACGACATGGACGTGGCTGGTTCTGGAGGAGGTCCTGTGAATTCAAGATGGAACCCAACGAAGGAGCAGATTAGCATGCTCGAGAGCTACTATAGCCAAGGTATACGGACCCCAAGTACTGAAATGATAGAGCAAATAACGAGCAGGCTCAAAGCTTATGGTCACATAGAAGGGAAGAATGTATTTTACTGGTTTCAAAATCACAAGGCAAGGCAAAGACAGAAGCAGAAACAAGAGAGCATGGCTTATATCAATAACTATCTTCACAAGGTTCATCAACCTGTGTTTGCACCTCCTTGCGCAAATGGTTTGTTACATATCTTAGCAATCAATATCATATTGTGTCTGCGCTAATGGTGTTTTATTGATTCTCAGAATTTAGCGATAAAGTTCTATTGAATATTTTACGAATTAAATATGGACCTTTTTTTTTTTATTTGGGGGTTTTTCGTTGTTCGTGTTCTCTTGCTCGCATTAATTAATTTATTCTATTTTTAGTTTCATTCCTTGCTGTCTCTTCATGCAGATAAACTCGATATCAGTGCAAACAGAAACAAAGATAAAGAAAGTATTCTCTAAAGAGTGTTTGTTATCCAGGATATTCAGAAATAAAATACAGATTTCCTTTTGTAACTTTTCAGATAGATTTGTTCTCTTGCTTACTGTACCTTTTATGATTGCATAAAGCTTTATTCAACCAATGTGAAGTGCATGCATAGTAATAACTTATTTGCTTCCATGGCCTGTCCCTTTCCAAGCGATTTGCTGCCTTTGTTTAATTTTTTTCTCTTTTCAATTAGTTCCTTTCTCTTATTTCCACATGAATAAGGTAAATATCCTTCAAATTACTCTCTCTGGGCCAGTTCCTTGTTTTCCCTTTTTCCTCTCTCTTTCTTGAATGCAAAATGTTGTTATTAATTTCACTGTGATATTTTTTGAAATGAAGCTTTCTTTTTCAGTTGTCTGCAGCCCATACTACCTCCCACGGAACGAAATGATGGGGTTTTGTCAGCAGCATCCGAAAATGCTACTCCCTAGTAATTTCAAGATGAGGCCGAGGTCTGAAACAAGAACCTATGCTTTTAAGGAATATGAACCGGCTGTATCTCAAGAGTACCACAATCATATGACGATGACCAAGGGTGAGAGGAACCTGGTGACCATCAACAACAAGAGCAGCTGTTCTGATCAAGAAACTTTGCCTCTCTTTCCTTTGCACCCAACAAGAGTTCTAGAAGGAGCAGCATCTATTGGTTCTCTTGGTTCAACTTCTGATGAGAATTCCATTAACATTCCTAGCTCCGCTGATCAGACTACAACTTGCATTGAACACCAATCTGGTGATTGCAGACCTTTCTTTGATTTCTTCTCTGGAAAAGATCTTGAACCTTGAATGTGACCTAATATTGAGGTTTATAATAATAAATGTTTTTGAATGGCGTTGAAGAGCATTCGGGTAATTTCAAACTTCCTTTCATTTTTTTCTCTGGAAAAGATCCTTAATTAGAGAATTATCCTTGAATGTGACCTAACATTGAAGTTTATAATAATAAGTGTCTTTTGAAATGGGTTTTGTTCTGGGGTGGTCTATGATTCTAAAATCAAGCCGGGTTAATGATCGATCCCATAATAAAATTTTATGCATGCGAGTCCTGCACTTAACTAGTACTTTTAATTACAATAATTAAGTGCTGAAGCTCCAATTTAATGTTACCGTACGCAGTTGGAATTTAATTAATATGCTCTAGGGTTTTTCAATTTAAAATTCTTGTTTCTTTCTCTTTTTTTGAATCTAATACGTATCCATTCTTCAGTCAAAATTTTCATACAAAGACACTAATTAATGAAAATATTAATTGAATACACTTTATTTTATTTATTTTTCAACACACAAGGTGGGTTTTGAAAGCATTTTAAAAACTTTTCACCGTATTTCCTTCTCTCAAAATCCGAGTTAAAATGTTTCATTTGTAATTAAAAGAAAAAAGTGATCTTATATATGTGTGTGTATTATAAAAAAAGCCTAACCTCCTAATTTATTTTTTATAAAGTAGAAATAATTCTCAAAAAAATTATTCAATACAATTAGTTTTGAAACAAATTTGGGATTTGATCATGTGCTTATGTTAAGTAGAATTTAATTAGTTCTCATACTATTTTTTAAAGTAAAACTGTAGTATTGATCATGTCTAACCTCCTCAATTACTCTTTTGAACCGTAAATCAATTTTTGCAATTAAGTCCTTAAAAAGGTTCAACTTGATAGATTTAAAATACCTTGAACCTAGATGAAATGAAGATGGACTTTCCCCTATTGGCCCAACTCGTGCTGATTTTCTTTTGAACTCTAGTCCTTCTTTAGCGATTCCTTTAAGCCTTCCTTTTAAGTATCAGAAGCTTTCAAACCAAACTCTCTATAAATATCATTGAATTGCGTATAAATATAAGAAAATTTAAATGTTAGTTTACTATAAATTGTTGAATTGCATATAAATATCAAGAAATAGGCTTCAATTTCGTTGATTCAAAGAATATCAAAGATTGAGATAAAGTCGAGATATTCTCTAATAAAACTTTATTAACTAAGAAAAAGTGATGTTTTTCTACCTCAAAATCATACATAAATAGTAATTTTTGGCCAAAATCCTAAAGCAATTCAAAAAGAAAACAAATACTAAAAATCCAAAACTATTAAGAAAAAATCTCGAAAAACAAGTAAAAGCTAATTTAAGGGCCTAAACAATTTTTTTTGCCCAAAATCACCCATACATCATGGGTAAAGCCATGTTTTTTTATCATTGACCCGTTTAACATGAAATTAGATTCAAAAAACCTAAAAATTGAGCTGACGAGTTTTGTTCGGTTTTTACCGCGCTCATATCATTACATGAATTCCAAAGCCCATTGATCCACATTAAGAAATCTAGGTGGAACCATTTAACTACCGTTAACGTTTAACTTCCAATACTTAACCCTAAACAAGTACAACCTAAATTGTTATATATATATTTTTTATTCTATAGACAACTCAACGTGACATAACGTATAGTGAAAAGGATGCAAGGTTTACTGCTAATAAAAAATTCTTTAGAAGAAAATACAATGAACTATAAAATCTGATAATTTTTTAATATTTAATAATGGTAGTAAAAAATTTACAAACAGTATAAGTAATCTATCATAATTAACTAAATGCTAAACTAGATAACAAAATAAAGTAGATATCTAGAATAATAATAGAAATAAAAAATTAAGAAAATAAATAAATCATAAGTCGGAATTTCTGAATTGAAACAACATGGGTTGGTTCTGCGTGTCTAAATGAAAAAAAAAAAAAAAAAAAAAAAAACCTAAAAATTGTTATTAAAAAAAAAAGGATAACAACAATAAAAATGGAAAAAAAATGAATTCACAATGAAAGAAAGTAAATATAAAAGATAACAATTTCAAATAATTCTCTCAATCTTTACAAAATATTTCTACACAAACTAATCAAGCATATAATTATAGGTATCAAATTAAGAAGAGAATTGAAAAGGACTATGGATGATTAAAAATACATAAATTATTGAATTAATTGCATCATCATTTCAATTTCTTAAATTGAATGCTGAATTAAATCGTATTAAGAATTATGAGCAAGTGGGTATATGAAAAGCATATATATGAACATTTATATGGATATTCATTATTTCATAACACTCCTCCTTAAATATCTATTGAATAAAGAACATGTCTCGTTAAAACTTTATTAGGAAAAAACAAAATAAGAAAAAAGTACAATATTCTTTATACACATTAATCCTTATATTGGACTCGTTCTATTGAAAATATTATTTAAGATTTCAAAGATGATACATTCTAATCTTGTGAATTATCTTCTCAAAAGTTATGCTAGGTAATATCTTAGAGAACAAATTTACCGGATTGTCACTTAACCGAATTTGTTGAACATTAATATCGTCATTCCGTTGAAAATTATGTGTGAAAAATAATTTTAGTAATATATATTTTGTTCAATAACTTTTGATATATTCTTCATTTAATTAAGTTATGCAAGTAGTATTATCTTCATACAATATTGTTGGAACTTCATTACTAGTGGATAAACCGTATATCTCTCGAATATGATGGGTCATTAATTTTAACCAAACACATTCTCAACTTGCCTTATGAATTGATTTTTTTTTTTTTTGTGCATAATTTGAATATGTAGTAGCATAACTTGCTTTATAGAACATCATGATTTAGTTGTATCATCGTGTGTAAATACGTGACTAGTTTTTGATCAATTTTTATATTGACCAAATAAATAATCTACATTTGCATAACCAATTAAATATAACTTTGATTTATTTAAATAAAATAAATATCATATCAATTATTTCTTAGAGATAACGTAGTATATGTTTAATACTATTTCAATGTCTTTGTGTTCGAGCAGAGCTATGTCTTGTAAATAACTTTACGTAAAATGATATATGAGGTTAGATATTATTAGTAAGATATGTTGATACACCAATTGAATTAAGGTATGGTATTTCGGGACAAATAAGTTCTTCGTTATCTTCGAGGTAAAAAATGTTTCTTTTGGATATTAAATGAACGAACTTTCATTGGACTAGTCAATGGATGAGCCTTATCCATATATAATTTATAGAAATTTTCCTATAGAAGTTGATTGATGAATAAAAATCTCATCCTCTAAGTGCTCGAATTACAAGCTGAGATAAAATTTTATTTTCTCAAGGTATTTCATATCAAATTCTCTTTTTAAATAACTTATGACACTTGAAATCTCTTTAGGAGTTTTAATAATATTTAAATCATCAAAATATATAAAAATTATCAAAATTTTCTTTTCAAAATTCTTTATAAAGATACATAAATAAATATAGTTATTTTTATAATCTTTTTTCAATAAATATTTATTAAGGTGGTTATACCACATACACCTAGGTTAGTAATAAAGAGCGAGATATTGAAAAATAAAAAGTATAGAATAAATCAAATTTTCAAAAACTAAAATAATAAAATAAATACTAAAATAATTCTTATAGGATTTCTATAGATTAATTGAATACATTTTTTGAGAATATCTATTAATGCTTCGAGCAGACTTAAGTCTTTTTAGGACTTTCATATAGATATTATTTTAAGTGAACAAACAAGCTCGCATTCATTAAATGCATGCATATAAAGTTTTTCATATATTTTGCCAAGCTAACAAGATAATGAAATGTAATTGCATCAATTATAGGAGCATATGTCTCCTCATAGTCGATGTCAAGTGTTTATAAAAAAACTCTTACGTTGCAAGTCTTACTTTGTATTTTACATCTCATCTTTCTTATTTTATTTTCATACAAATACTTATTTATATTCCACTCGACTTGACATCTTTAGGCATTTTGACCATGGATTCAAAAACTATTCATTTTGTAAGAGGACATATTTCTATCCGGATTGTTATTTTTATTTAAACCAACCATTTTAATGTTGATATTTTTCAATAAATTTAGGATCATGATCCTTATTTTCATTCAAAACATCAATTGTAACATTATATGCAAAAATGTTATCAACATATATTTCTTTTTGGTCTCATTTTCTTCCTCGTATTGAAATAACTTATCAAAGTCTCACGATTTTTCTCAAGTATTTGGACTTTTTAGAAGCCTATTATCAAAAATATCTTGGACTATTTTATGAATATTTGCATTTTTTTATATTTTCATCTTGATTATTTATCTTTTTCTTTCGAGAATTTTTATCTTTAGAACTAATCAATCTTCCAAGCTTCAAGCGTGTTTTAGATTTATTTGCTATAACCTCAATCGATTGTCTTTCTAGGACATCAATTCTAATAGAAACATTCTCAACAATGACATACATTATAATTTTTTTTTTTTTTTTTTGATATGAAAATGCATCCAAAAGTTGGTTTGTGAAATTTTATAAATGAATTATTTTTTGAACTTTCAGTTTATATTGTTTTATGCAAGAATCAAAATGATGTAAAGATAGAGTACTTCATATCTCTTTTTTCAATATTTCTAACTACTTATTTTGAGTTTTGTTTTCATAAGTGAAGGTCTAGTTTTTAATCGAAGGCTTTTGATAAATAACTCGTTAAATCATTCCGAGTATGAATATGAGCAAGAGACTCGTTCAATCTTTATTCAAATAGACATGCAATAATTGTTAAATGCTTAAAAGGTAAATTTACCTATATTATCAAAATGAATTGTTTTAATGATATAATTTAGAAATTATACTCATAATCGAATTATTTGAGAAAACAACCTAAAAAACATTAGGTTTTGGATTGATAATAAGCATACATATGATCATTTTATAGATATAGCTATTAAAATCTTAAAGTATTTAAATAGTCCAAATGATGGATGAATTGGTCAACATACATCACATTAATACTTTCTAAAACACTAAAGATTCAATCCTAATTTTACTTGATGATGACTTAGTAATCAGTTTATCTTGAAAACATTCAGAAAATAATAATTAATTAGATTGAAGAATCTTTTGACACTTTAATGGATGTTTGTAATGAATTTTTAATAATTTTTTTGCTATATGAAAGACCCAAGATATCCCAATTAGTCATGCCACATAATAAAAGTATTTGAATTAGTAAACTTCTGATTTACTATAATATTTGTTTCAATTATTCGAATATTTATAATAAAGACTAGAAGAAAAAATGAGTAATTTCTTCAATACATATTTTTATCCAATGTAATAATTATAATATATAAATATTCAATATTTTTATATTTGTTGTCTTGATATGATATCCATTTAGATAAATATCTTTGAAACTCGATAAATTTCTATGATAATTTGGAGAAAATAATGCATGATCTATAATAATATTTCTTTTTTCGAGTAATAATATATTTTTCCTTCGAAGCCTTAAAAATTTATCCTTTCAAAAAATAATATATTTACTCTTCTAGTACTTTCAAAATTTGTCTCTTTAGATAATAATATAGTCATTTTTTTAGAGTTTTTTATTAGACCGATACTATCACACACACACACACACACACACATACACACACACACACACACACATATATTCAAAATAAATAATTAAATAAACATAAAATAAATAAATATATTCTTCATAAAAATAAATATATAGCAAAATAATTTTATAACTATCATTATGCACTAGAAATTATAAAAAATATATAAAACATCTTATTTATAAATAAATAAATAAAACTAACTAACAAGTTATTAATTTCGAGTTACCATCATTTTAATACATAAAATTAGTCTTTATATTTTACTCTCTCTCTTTTTTAATGAGACTTGATGAGACTCAACAAGATGCTTTAGTGTACGACAAGTATGCAAATAATTTTCCTTTATGTCACATCTATAACATTTATTTTCAGAATGTCGTTTGATCCATTTTTGTTTTTTTTCTCTTTATTTTTTTATTTTTTTATAGCTTATCCAATTCTAGTGGCGAGGTGAATTATTATGATCATCATAATTATAATGATAATTATTTTGACACGACTATAGTTATGTCCACGTCTTCGTCTATATCCAAAATTATTATAAATTGTTACATTCATTTTAGAGAATGGAGGAGATCCAATTGGGCAATATTCATGATTTTTCATTAATAGCTCGTTATTTTGTTTGGCCACAAGCAATTATGAAATCAAAACAAAATATTTCTAAAACTTTTTTCTCAATATTACTAATATAGGAGCATATTCAAGATATGAAAAATAAAGAATGTTTTCTCGACATCAAGCACTTATGATCAATAATTCTTGCTTAGAATGTCAAATGCCACAAAATCAAGATTTGTGAGGTTTGATATGAAACTAAATTCCATAATGCAAGCTATGATAATGATGTTAGAAAATAAGAACAAACATAATAATAAAATTTAAGCTTTTAAAAAATATACATTAGATCATTAGATTCTATATATTAAATTATTCAAATATTTCAAATGCATATACGTATCATTAGATTTAAAGTGAATGATAAATTAAATACATACCTCTTAACGATCTAGATAATTTAATATAAAAAAAATAACCCAATGATTGAAACATATGATCAAGTATTTTGATAGACACATACTTCATGGTCTACCATCTCGTTTGGTTAGAATTTCATATTGATAACATGTTATAAAAAAAATTGGTATCAATAATAGAATTAAAGGAAAAGATGATAATAAAATAACTTCACGATGAAATAAAGTGAACACAAGAAATAACTCCAAACAATTCTCACAAAGTCTACAAAATACTTCTATACAAACTAATGAACAATCAAACCTATTTATAAGCTTCAATATTAAGAAAAAAAATTGAAAAGAACTATAAACGATTTAAAGTATATAAATTATTGAATCAATTGCATCACCATTTTAGTTTTTCATATTTAATGGTTAATTGAATCATTTAAGAATTATAAGTAGTAGGTATTTGAAAAACATATGAACATTTTTATAAACATTCATTATTTCATAATAAAACTAAGTATTTGAAATTGATTTTGACATTAAAAAAAAGGAACTTTTAATGACAACAACGAATCAACCACTCGTAGATCTCTAAATTACCTTTTTAAACTCGAAAAAATTTATGTTAATCAAATACTTAGGTGTCGTTTGGTTATTAGGAATAAAAGATCCGTAATGAGAATGAAGGAGTCGGAATGAAGATCAAGGAATCAAAGTGGCATTTATATTCTCATATTGTGTTTCGAATACTAATAAGGAATCGGAATGCAATTTAAATTTTTTAATAACCGATTTTTTATACAAATAAAAATAATGATTAAAAAATAATTTTATCTAACTATAATGGTGGTGATGGTTATGGCAGTGGTGGTTGCGATGGTGGTGGTGGTGATAATGGTGGTCGTGGTGGTGGTAGTGATAATAAAAGTAATTAATAGACAATAAATAAATAAAATATATTATTATTTTGAAGAAAAAAATTCATTCTCATTTCTTATTTTTATTTTCACATCTTATATGAGAATGAAGTTGTGTATAAATTCATTCTCATTCTACTTTCATTCTCATTCTCATTTCATTCATTTTAACCAAACAAGTATAACGTAGAAATAAAATTTTCATTTTTATTTTTATCACTTGATTCTTGATTTCTAAACAACATCTTAAATGAAAAGTTTTAGACAATTAAGTGAATAAGACGATGTTATTGAATTTTTTTCCTAAAATTTGAACCGGAAACTCATAAGGTAAACGGCACACTTTATAATGGTCATGTGCTACACCTATCAAGCGGAGAGTTATAGCCCATCGTTAAACGGCACACGTCACAACGGCCATGAGCTACACCTACCACAGTGGAGAGTTACAGCCCATCCTCAAACACCCCCCACCAGCAACCCCAAACCCAACCCCCCACACCACACAACCCCAAACCCCAAAACGCAATTCTGTTCCTTCAGTACAGGAGTAATAAAATATCCTAATGTTTATTAGTATTACTAGCAACATATAAATCAAGAATTAATTGTTTCTAAATAAAAAGGAGAAAAAGAATCGATGTTGTTGAATTTTTGAATTGACAAGTGAATACACATGTTACGTCTAAGAAAAGCGATACTCTAATATAATTAACTTTTTAAATGATTCGATCTTATAAGGATAAGCTTCCCACCATCCAAATCATTTGTGGCATCAAAGCAAAGAGCATAATCCACACCACTTGATATTTAAAACTAAAACTTCGTCTGCTTTGGAACGCCTAAAAGATCAATCCTGCAAAAAATGGAATCCAACAGATGTGATTTGGAGTTGTAAAAGGGTTTTTATACTTCATGTTCCTATTATGACCATCGTCATAATTACTGTAACGAAAAAACACGTGGAATTATTCGCTTTGGCTTGACTTTCTTTGTGAAGTCATAGATAAGTTATCTTGTCAAGGCAGTTATATTTTTCAACTTAAATATATGTTAAATAAGAAAAGTGATAATTAGCTTCTTTATCTGATACTAAATTTCCTAGTAGTGCTCACTAATCGGATGCCAAATTACGTTTCGAATGTGGGAACCTTAAGACGTCATAAGACACTATGTACGCCGCCCATTTTTCTGCAGCCCCTAATAGTTCTTTAATTTGTTTTGCTTGACTTAGTAAATGATTTGGTATCCAGGGAAACAAAGATGTGACAACGCAGTCTAGAAAATATTTCTTATAAAATCATCACAAGTTTGTAGATTGATTTTGTTTCCCTACTTTGACAAGACTGTTTGTTCTTGCAAATAGCAATTTTTCCTTATAGAACAATATTTGATGTTCAACTGTACTTAATGAGTACAACTTCATTGACCTCGTTACCTGTTTCTTCAGAGTATTTGGACATTTGGGTTTTGGATGCTTTAACTGAATGCTTCTTATAAGGAATGAATGGGAGATGTTTATGAGGTTCCTCAAGGTTCCAACTAACATTTAATATATTAGCCAGTACCATTGGATTAGTTTCGGCACTAGCTTTGAGTAATTTAGCAGCCTGAGTGGCTTTCCTCATACCAGATTCCATGTGTATAATTAGCTAGGTTCATTGATGCTCTGTATTGCTTTTGCAGGCGTCTTTCAAAGTTCAACTCTAAGCGGCCTAAGGACTTGTTCTAGTTCAGATCCAAAAGGCAAGAAAGGAAGATTTTGCGGCTGCTAATCTTTGATTTCTGCCAATCTCAACTTGACTGAAAACCGAAAACACCAGTCATCCAATCAATACCGAATATTGAGAAAACGGTAATCGGTTAAAAAAACAATATGCATAGCTTTGCAATCTGTCCTACTAGAGTGATATTTAGAAGCAGGGCCTTAAACGCTTTCATGCCGACAAAATCTATCGGCGCATCACTTCAGTAAATTAATAAGTAACAAACCCAGGGCTGAGAAGACTTGGCCAAAAAGATTGTACTCCAAGAAAAAGGCGGAAGCATTTCAGGACCAGTACCACGGCGAATTTCTTTTCCCCACATCAGTTGTGTTGAATTAGTAAGCTGTTCGGTTTGAGAATTGAATCCTTGCTCAAGCATCCACGAGCAACCAAGAGATCAAATGGTTGAAAGGATGTAAGCGTCCATCGAAAAACGATAAAGAAGCAAACAGCATCGAAATATAAAAAGGGAAATTACTTATTATCAATCTACCATACAAACACCTCCATCACAGACCCACACGGTTCAGAGACAAAAACCATAAAGGTTAACAAAGCAAAGGGCACCAACCCAAACCTAAGAACTAATCAGTTCAACTTAATCAACTTCCTCGATCTTGGGCCCTGCACCACTTCCACCACCAGCAGAAGGACCATCCTCCTCATCCATGGCTCCACCAGCATCCCCACCAGCACCTTGGTACATTTTGGCAATTATTGGGTTGCATAAGCTTTCCAGCTCTTTCATTTTGTCTTCAAACTCATCGGCCTCAGCAAGCTGGTTCCCATCAAGCCATTGGATGGCTGACTCAATCGCGTCTTCAATCTTCTTCTTATCTGCAGCAGGAAGCTTCGAGCTGATCTTCTCGTCTTTGATAGTATTCCTCATATTATAAGCATAGTTCTCCAGCGCATTCTTGGCCTCGACCTTCTTTTTGTGCTCCTCGTCCTCAGACTTGTATTTCTCTGCTTCCTGAACCATCTTCTCAATTTCCTCCTTCGACAGTCTGCCCTTGTCATTCGTGATGGTAATTTTGTTCTTCTGTCCAGTCGTTTTATCCTCAGCAGAAACATTCAAAATACCATTGGCATCGATGTCGAAGCACACATTAATTTGTGGAACACCCCTAGGAGCAGGAGGAATGCCAGACAACTCAAACTTCCCCAACAAATTGTTGTCACGCGTCCTGGTTCGCTCGCCCTCGAAGACCTGAATCAACACGCCGGGCTGGTTATCAGAGTAGGTGGAGAACACCTGCTCTTTCTTGGTGGGGATGGTAGTGTTCCTCGGAATCAATACAGTCATGACTCCACCAGCTGTCTCCAAACCCAGGGATAGGGGGTGACATCAAGCAACAGCAAGTCCTGTACCTTTTCATTACCCTCACCACTGAGAATTGCTGCCTGAACTGCAGCGCCATAAGCAACTGCCTCGTCAGGGTTAATGCTCTTACAAAGCTCTTTCCCATTGAAGAAATCCTGCAGCAATTGCTGAACCTTGGGAATCCTAGTAGACCCACCAACAAGTACCACATCATGGACACTACTCTTGTCCATCTTCGCATCTCTTAAGCACTTCTCCACAGGTTCCATACACTTTCTGAACAAATCCATGTTAAGTTCCTCAAATCTAGCTCTTGTAATAGTTGTGTAAAAATCAACACCCTCGTACAATGAATCAATCTCAATTGTAGTTTGAGCAGTGGATGACAGAGTCCTCTTGGCCCTCTCACAAGCCGTCCTCAATCTCCTCAGTGCTCTTGGGTTACCACTAATATCTTTCTTATTCTTCCTCTTGAACTCCTGAACAAAATGGTTAACCATCCTGTTGTCAAAATCTTCACCTCCTAGATGGGTATCACCAGCAGTGGCTTTCACCTCAAAAATACCTTCTTCAATTGTGAGAAGGGACACATCAAAAGTACCACCACCAAGATCAAAGATAAGCACATTCTTTTCACCAGAACTAGTAGCCTTCTTGTCCAGCCCGTAAGCAATGGCAGCCGCTGTCGGCTCATTGATAATACGCATCACATTGAGGCCAGCAATGACACCAGCATCCTTGGTGGCTTGACGCTGTGAATCATTGAAGTAGGCAGGGACTGTAACGACGGCATTCTTTATTGTAGTGCCAAGGTAGGCCTCAGCAATCTCTCGCATCTTTATGAGAACCATTGAAGAAATTTCTTCAGCAGCAAATTGCTTCTCTTCACCCTTGTATGTGACAACAATCATGGGTTTGTCACCAGGACCAGGAATAACCTTAAAAGGCCACAGCTTCATGTCGTTTTGCACAGAGGGATCACTGAATCTCCTACCAATCAAACGTTTAGCATCTGCAGAAAACAAATTTCACCAAAAAAGAATTAAGGACTAGATACTAAAAATTGAAACGATTCAGACTGGAAAATTAACAAATTCAACAAAACCAGCGAATTGCTATATACTAATAAAATATTGATTTCAATAAAATTACATAAATTATACAGTGTTCTATCCATTCCATTTAATCAGATACACACCACATGAACAGACTGTTTACAAACAACAATGATATTTACGCCATCGTCTGGTTGCAAAAACAGCAAGCCGTATACACACGATAAGCATAACATACCTTTTTTTGGATTGAAGAAATTCAGATATGCGAACACCAGATTAAAACAGATAGAAATTTTCTACTTATAACAGAATAAATCAAAGGACAACTGAAAACATGCGGCAGAGAATAAAGAGAAGAACAGCAAAGAAACAGATTAATAACATACACTGTTAATAAGTGAGAACAAGAACGTACCAAAAACAGTGTTGATGGGGTTCATGGCGACCTGATTCTTGGCTGCATCGCCAATCAGACGCTCGGTGTCAGTGAAAGCAACATAAGAAGGCGTGGTTCTGTTTCCTTGATCATTAGCTATGATCTCTACACGATCATGTTGCCATACACCAACACAGGAGTATGTAGTTCCCAAATCGATACCAATTGCAGGACCTTCTCCTTTACCAGCCATTGCTAATAATTACCAAAACTGAATAAATTTTCACGAGAGAAAAAATCAAATCGCAGAGACAGAAATCTCCTCCTTTTTTTTATATTCCTTTTTTCGGTTGTTGATATGAAGAAAGCAGAGATAGAGGACTGGTTTTTAAAAAGAAGAAGGTAGGATTTCTGGAAGGTTCCTTTGTGTATTGGAACCGTTGGATCGATATTTTGAAGGATTCAGATTGGTTTCTGCTTTGACAAGTGTTGGTGGCGTCTCCTGCTTGTTTTGTTCAGCCGTGTCTCTCTTCACTCTCTAGTGGTTTCCAGAGAATTCCATTTCTTCAATTTCTCAAAGTTACGTGTCGAGTTCGCGCTAAAAGGGTTGGCTGACAGTTACTCTAGCCTCATTGGTCAAGTTGTAGCAGCAAGCTGCTGTCCGAAAGGAGTTCTTTTTTATAATTTTAACTCTTAAAGGCCAAACCTCAAATAAGTCCCTTAACTATGGACCTTGTCTCCATTGAGTCTTCAACTAGTGCTTTGTCTTTTATTGAATCCCTTAGGGATTCAAAGATTCTTAATTAAGTTTGGGAATATACACCAAAGATCAGGTCCTCGAGTTGGCAGGTCCATGAATTCCGTGGTACATAAGAATCAATCTTTAAAAAATCTTAATATTTATTATCACAAAATCATTTCTGTCCTCTTTTTTTTAAAAAAAAAAATCTTTCTCCGGTTATTTTTTTTGGTAATAGTATAAGAAAAACAAATTTAATACTTTCTTAATCTCAAAGACGTTGTCTTTTTTTCTATTTATATTTCTTAAAATCAAAATTCTTGCTAATGCACTTTCTTAAGATACTCTTAATTGATGAAGAAAATCAATTATTTCTTATATTTCATGTTCTTCACTAAAAAAAATCAATATTTATTATTTTTTTCTTATATATACAAAATATTTTTAACATAAAAATATTCATTCTTATAAAGACTTTACTCCATGTTGAAAATTTGAAAGTAAAATATTTTTATTAGTATGTTCTTTTTTCACAATTTTCTTAAACTTGATCGTTAGTTAACTTAATGATTTTTTTCTTTAATTTACCATCTTAATTTTGGATGGATTTAGTTTCATGTAACGGACGACTAAATTTGATAACTAACGTTGTTAAAAGAAAAAGCAAAATAGCGACGAAAATATCTATCGTTAAAACTAACATTTTCATCGCTATATATGCAACGACAAAAATAAACCGTCGTTAAAAGGCTTGTTGCTAAATTTGTTAGCGATGGATTCACTAATTCGATGATATTTAGCAATGAAAATATTATTGCTATTTCGATGTATTTTCATCGCTATTTTGTTATAAAAAGTCGTACCCTTACCGCAAAATCCGTCGCTATATAGAGATGAAAATCCATTGCTAATTACAATCGTCGATCTACCATTGGTCTCCATCGCTAATAATTAAATTCAATTTTTTTTTTTTTGTTAAGGTGTCGTTGATCCGGCACTGCATTAAGGTTTTTTTAAAAAAAAATTGTTAATAGGCTTTTAAATGAATATAAAATCAAATATATATACACACACACACACACAATCCAGTATAAAACACATCAAAAATAATAATTAAAAAAAAAGTTAGTCCTCATCAAGATCATTTGTTACTTCATCTTCCAAATGTTGGGTATTAAGATAAGAAAAAGACTCTTAGGTAAGAGGAGGGAAAGGGTTAGTAGGAAGAACGTGACTCTTAAGTGATTCTTCTAAGCAATTACTCCACCACTTGGATCTATCGAGAAGAGTCACGTTGTATATCCTCTAACTTTTTTGGCATTGCTCACGATCTTACCGCATACAACTAGGGAAACAAGATGTGGTAAAGGACGAGTCTGGTGTCAAACTATGAGTAATACCGGGATGTTTGTGACCCGAGACCGTACACTCTATAATTCTTCTCCCCTTTTACAAACTCGAGACATATCCGTGATATGTCATCATCCGAAAATGATAATCACCCTCCGATTCGTTGGCTAACGACTAATGCATTCAACCGGTCTATGCGTTTCTATACAATCAAAAAGATTATAATATTAAATTATAAATATAATTTTTTAATTAAATTTACATATGCATAATTAAAATAATAAAAAACTTACCTTAACCGCCGGGGACCATGGATTCACAAATGACTCATCTTGGTGCTCGTGAGTCCTCACAAACAACTTGTGAATATTTGAATAACTACCTAACTTCTTAGCCTAAAAGTAGAAATAAATAATATAAGATTTAATAAATTCAAATATTAATTTAGACTACAATGGATAATATGATTTATCATCCATTCAATGTGTTTAATTTGTGAGATGGAGCCCTTTGTATGTCTAAATGGCTTAACATTAACACCATCCATCTCGCTCATATGGTTCCACGTCGCTCGTCGAGAATGAGCCCAACACTCTAGTGTGCTATAATCCCGTTGTCATGCATTCCATATTAATTTTAGGACAAACTAGGGTTTCTTGGTCTTTTTCTTATAGCGGGTCGGCATGTTAGCATACCTCCTACGTGCCAAATGCTCTCATCTCATCTTAACCATCATGTTGACGACTTTTTCCCATAAAATAAACTTCTACAAGGAAGAAAAAAATTAATATTAGTACATTTCATGTTACAAATTTAAATATAATATTAAAAAAAATTAACATGTTATTTTAAACTCATTCTAATATAATTCTTTTGTCTCTTGCGAGATTGACTTCCACATGGAGTCGGCAAGGTCTAATCGCTTTACGAAAATTTTGGTGATCCGATGAGCATACTTATTAGATGGATACAAATTATCGAATACAATAAATTAAAAATTAGTAAGTTAATAGATAATTCAAATAATATACTGAAATATAAAACTAATTACCACATTTAAAACAAAGATGATTCTATTTGCAACCACGGATATGTTACTTACATGTTATTAACGACATAAATGGTTCGTTCGGCATCAAAAGTGTTGCTAGGAGCAAAAGAAACCACCAATACAAAATTCGCTGTCATGCTTAGTTTTGGCATATGATCGTCCTGTAGGAGAGCAAATGAGGGCGATGAAGGGAATTATTGCTGGCGATGCTACTGCTAGAGATAGAAGTGTTGGCCATGTGTTCGGGTTCGAAGCATTACTATGACAACAACTACAAATATTAGATCTAATCGGATTGGACTTTAGGTAGAGACGACCCAAATGACGAGTCATTACATATACAATATCACATCATATAATTTAATAAATACCAAAAAAAAAAAAAACAACTCAATTACCTTAAGTTCAATATATTTTTTCTACAAGTCAAACAAAATTTCGGTAGAGTCTCTCCTATAAATTAAATATTTCCTAATTACTAGAGACTCAATAAGCATAAAAAACAACATAATCAAAATACACCACACATATTCAAAATAAACGACAGAGCACATGTCATGGCCTATACGAGTTTAAAGTGATATAATTTAATAATGCAATAAATAAAAAATATCTCTATTATCTTGATTTAATAAATACAAAAAGTAAAAAACATTATCTATATCGGTTTACTAAATACAACAAATAAAAGAAAACTTTAATTACTATTGTTATAATCATCATTTAAGTCTTCATCTTTCTTAGTCGACTCGATTCACATTCACTCTCATCGTCTTCATTAAATTTAGGTTCTTTTATATCTATAGATGATCAATTTAGATCGATCAACAACTACTCCTCAACATCAACCTGGATCACATTATGCTTGGATTTTCAAATCATTCTCTTGAAATGATTCCGTATTTTGTTGGACTAAGACGGATGACTTTAATAAATCCACCACGACTCGAGCTTTTATCTCACTAACAAGTCGACCAATCACTCCTCTCATGCTTCAAGCTAGGTTATATGGTGTAATACGGTTAGACCATTTAAACCGTTAAAACAATGGGTTCATATTTGTTGAATCTCTTTCCACGATTTACCTCTATTAGTATATAAAACATATGAACTCTTGTATCATTTGGTGAAGGATTAAACCAATCGTATTTGAACAAAACTATTATTTTGATTGGCAATGCGGAATATTCTAATTTTATAATTTTGGTCAAATTTCTATAATAGTTGCTTTCATTTGTACTATAATTAGATCCTTTTATACAAACTCCATTATTCATCCTTGCAATGTCTACGCCATATCCTTCGATATGAAATCTACATCCATTTACAATATAGCTCGAGTACGACATCATTGTTCGTAAAAAACCTTTTGTAATATTTTTTTTAATTGGTTTATCATATAGTTGGTTTATACATAATATACCTATAAAATTGGCATTCACACCTTAAAATTATAGTTAACAATTAATTAATACAACTTACAAATAGAACGAGGTCTAAAATAAGGATACCTATATATTCACGGAACTAGGAGGCAAACTTATCTTCATTGAACTAGATTGATCGAAAGCTTAAAACCTATCGAGTGCAAACTTCCAATCCGACATTCTTTTTTTTTTCATGAAAAAACCATGTGTTTGATTAAAATATCATCATACAAGAGATTCGAGCAATGAGGCATTACGTTTGCATCCTCAACCTTATGTACAACCTTAGAGTGAACGAAAAGTTGTATATATTTTTTTATATGAAATAATTTTTACTTTCATGATCTCCGTCTTAAATTTTGGTATCGAAGATGGAAACGAACTCATAAGTAGTTAATTCGCTATCTTCATACCAAAAAGGCATACAACTGCGTTTACAACAATAGATCTTTCAATTGATAAACTCATCTCCTTCACTAACGTTTTAGTATTATAGAAATCCTCCGTCATATTGTTATCGGTAAACATCAACTCCATCGTTAGCTTATATAACTCGTCATAGCACTTTTGAAAAAATGATGTTTTGCCTTAAGGTTTGACAATCGGACAACTATAGGCAACTATGAGTAAATTATGGGGTTTAACATGTCATGAAAATTCTACACATCGGGATTTGGCGCTTCCTT